ACCCCCCCCGCCCTCAGTTGCCCAGCAGAAGCTGCTCAGTCCCTGTGACCGGCGGAACAAAGGCGCTGCCACCAGCCTGCATGCCCCAGGCACAGAACCACAGAACGGTTTGGGTTGGAAGGGAGCTTTAAAGGCCATCTAGTCCAACTTCCTGCCATTAGCAGGGACATCTTCGTCTAGACCAGGTTGCTCAGAGCCCCGTCCAACCTGGCCTGGAATGTGCCCAGGGATGGGGCATCCACCGCCTCTCTGGGCAACCTGGGGCAGTGTCTCACCACCCTAAGTAAAGTAAAACATTTCTTCCTTAGAGGTGCCCGGGGGCAGAGGCCAGGCTCAGCCGCAGCATGAGTGCCTGCCTGTGGGGCCGAACCCACGGCACGGCGTGGGGCCAGAGCATTAAATCGCCACCTGCTGCCCACCCCGGCCCGCCCGGGCAGCAGCACCCCCACGGCTGCACCCCGGGGCCGTGGCGCCTCGCAGGAATACTCCCACTTTATCAAGGGAATTGAGCACTGCAAATTGGTCTTCTAAGTAGATTCTGCCTGCTGCCGTCCCCTCTTCCCACCGCTTAATTTAATGATACAACACATACCTCTCTTCCTCCCACCATTTAATCTAATGATAAGCACCGTATCCGAGTCACAGGGAAAATAAACCCCTGCTGAGTTCGATTTTTATAGGTAAACAGCCTGATTTCTCTGGCCTGCGGCCTCACTCCCTTGCAGGGGCACCCCCCCGCCACCTGACTTCCACACTTCTCCTTCGCCGCCTCACCGCCCTCACCCCCGTGGTTTGTTATTAGTCTTTATAAAAATCGCCTGTTTATGGAATGATTTTTGTATGACATTTCATTAGAGTTTGAGCGACTGCTTCGCCTCCGGCTTTGCAGCGCCCAAGCCAAGAGAAAAACAAGGCAGAGGCCAGCGGGGTTGGGCTGCAGGACCCCCGTACGGGCCCTTGGGCTCGGGGACACCGCTGCAGCCCCCAGGACTGCCCCAGACGAGGTCTGCGGCATGTGCCCAGCCGTGGGGAACAGTGCCGGGCTCCACAGCAGGCAGACAGCAGCCTGCCCGGCCTGGGGAAGGGGAGCGGGCACTGCACTGCAGTCCGGCTGCGCCGGCAGCGTGCGGCCAGCTCCCGGAGTGTTGGGGCAGCTCTTGCCCACACTCACAGCACCGTCCTGCTCCCCTTGCACCATGCACCACTCCCTCCCTGGGCAGCCCCGAGGTGCAGGGGCTCCGGCCAGCTGGGACAGGTCCCTTTCCTCCAGCAGAGCCCCTTCCCATCCCCTCAGGATGCACAGACCCAGGACACATGGCTCCAGATGCACTCAGGGCTTCCAGCCAGGGCTTCCCACTCGGCTCCGCGCTCCCCAGACACGGGACACACCACGGGGCCCGTCCTGCAGGAGAAGCCAAACGAGAGGGGCAGTGACAGCGATAACTGTCACCCCTTGCCCCTCCTCCCCCGAGGGCACCAACTCCCCGCAGGCTGCGGTAGAAGCAGGGCCCAGCAGCGCCAGGCAGAGGGAGCGGGCCCAGGGGCGGCTCCAGCAGAGTCGGCAGCAAGAGGGGCTGAGGCACCGTCCCACTGTGCCAGAACCGGGCAGCACGCCCTGGGCACGCTTTGGTGATGGGAGGTAAACAGGGTCATGGCTAAGTGTAAAGAGATGCACTTGAGGAGAAATTCTAGCAATGCTAAGTATAGTTTAAATGCCATTAAAGCAGGGGAGGGAAGAGGATACGAGTGTATTAATAGGCTCAACATTTAAATCTTTGGTCCAGCGACAGCTCCGAGGATGCTGGCTCGCAGGAGGGGTGCCAGAGCCCAAGGGCATTGTGCTACCAGCACGCAGCGCCAGGCTGCACATGCTTGCGGTGAAATTAAGAGCCCAGAGCAAGTGCAAGGGCAAGATCCCTTCTAGAAAAAAAGTAAAGAAATGAAAGTAAGAGGCATCTTCTGCTCTCTGCATTACTTCGCCTTAGGACTTGGTCAGGCCTGAAAAGGGACAGAAAGCCCTGGCCTTTATTGCCATTGCTGAAGTCTAAAATGGAAAACACAGGGCTTCAACAACAAAATAGGAACATTTTGGAAGTCTAAAAAAGGGAAGAGCAAGGGCCCTGCCCCAGCCAGGCTGCAGGCACACGTGGGCCAGCGCCGACAGAGCAGCGTGCACACGCGGCTTTGCAGACACAGGCAGCCGGGAACCACAGGGGGATCAGGCAAGGAACAGCTCGCCGGGACGCCGCAGCTGAGACAACCCTTTGTCCTGGGCCTTTGCAGCACCACGCCGGGCATGGCCCACCAGCACCATCAGGAGTGGCCAGGCAGCGTCCCACACACTGCTCCACCGCCAGGCACAACCACTGCGACGAACAGCCGATGGCTCGGCCCTGCGCCTGGCCAAGGCAGCTGCGGAGCAGGGGTTGAGGCAGGCAGCATCACAGGGAGGCAGAGCCAAAAGGACACCAGCTTTTATTTACAACACTCCTCAAGTGACAGACAACAGAAAAAAAAAAAAAAAGAAAAGGGGACAGCATAGCTACACAACTCAACAAAGGAAAGGTAATGGCAGCCACAACACCCCCCCACCAGAGCCCACTGGTGCTGGGCAGAGCCCCCAGCAGCCCCCTCCTCGCCAGCTCAGAGCACAGGCGGGCAGGGGGCTGCTCCCACTGCTCCCCACGGTCTTCTGGGGGTACAGAGACACGGCCAGCACAGCTGCTCTGCTCAGATGGGCGAGGATGGCACAGTCGCTCTCCCTCACTCAGAGGTGATGATGCAGAAACCACCCGAGCCTTGCCAGGAGCGAGGGTCCCAAGAAAGCCCCCCCTTGGCGCAAGTTACACCGACTACGGCAGCCCCCATGCAGTGACATTTCTGCCAGCTGTGGAGGCCAGATGACTTCTAAGGCTGCGCGTCTGGAAAACGGTGTTAGTATAAAACAGGCATGCTGCTCAGGCAAGGGTGCCAACAAACTTCTCTCCGCGCAGTCAGCACCAGCCGCCTCCCACAGCTGCCACCTCCCGTGGAGCTGCTGGAGCACTGAGGCCGAGGGGCTGAATGCGGCCCAACTCTGAGCACCTCTCAGGCGCTTGGGGCTGGGGCCAGGGCTGACACCCCATCTCTCTCCATCTGTGGGGAGAGAGGAGCGCCTCCACCTCCGGCACCACAGGGACCTTGCCCAATCTAAGCACAAGGAAAATCCAGCCTTGGATACAGACCTACGAGCTCTGGCAGCACTGGCAAGTTGCAAGCACTCACAGCCCAGGTACAAATTAAACCCTTCCACCAGGGAGAAAGGAGCAGCCAGAGTGCGACCTGCCCAGCAGTCAGCTGCATGAAGGGTGTTGAACTGGGGCCGCCTGTCTGTGCCGAGGCACCAGGACAGAACCGGCTCTCCTTCCTTCTCCCCCTGGCCTGCTGTGGATCCTGGGTACACAGGAAGGAGCAGAGAACTAGCGCTGCCTCTACCGACAACACAGCCACTCTGCTCTGCCCTGGCGCACACCAGAGCCCAGGGACCCCACGTACTCAATGCACCAGGGGCAGAGATGGAAGGAGAACGGGAGATCTGTGAGCCCAGCATGAAGAGAGGAAGGACAGCTTGAGGCCAGAGAAAGCTATGAGTGGGAGACTGGAATCCTTTGCAACAGGCTCTGGGCATCTTCAGTGAGCCCCTGAGCATCTTTGATTTCAGGTAGCTTCAGAACCAGCCCCAAGGCTGACTGGCTCTCCCACAGGCTTTTAGGAGTACAGACCAGAGGAGGAAATCAACACAAAATCTCAAATTAAATCTGCTTGAGGACCTTAGGAGACCAGCTGATCCACAGGGAGGACCCGCCTTAGGACTTCTTTGCATCCTGTGTATTCCTCCTCTTCAGATCACCCAGGTCGACAGGTTTAAACGCTGCAGGGAGAACAGGAAAGACTTTGGCGGCAGAGGCCGCATCGCCGCCCGCTCCCAGCCAGCGCAGGCTCCCCAGGGCCGGCCATCCCCTCCGGCAGAGCCGGGGGAGCGTTCCCCCTCACCTTTGAGGCTAGGGTTCGGCATCTTCTCCACATACTCCTCAACCAGGCCGCGCTCAGAG